TAGAGGTTTCCTTTTCTTCCATAGCTTGTGAACCAAATTGCCATTAACACTGGCATTGGATCCAGCTCTTTCTTTCCACGCAACAACCAGGAGATGAGATACTTGTGTCCTCCCTTAAATGCCACCTAGGTCATCTTGAGAAAGAACTGCAAGAGTGACATCTGTCTCTATTTTTGGAATGCCTACACGTTCATAAAACTCAGCAAGTTTCAAATTCCACCAAAACAAGAGCCTTGCAGAAAATTTGTAGAGCACTATCAGTTTTACCATGCAGGTTGGGTAACGAGGGATTTGATTGCTAGTCTACAGACAAGACTACTGCCCAGACTGGTTCTCTTGGGATGAAAGTTTTTTTGTTTTTTAATCATTATGATACAATTTGTTTTTTTCTGCCACTGAAGTGGGCATGAGGAAATTTAAATATTCCAGGGACCCAGATAAAATACTTTATTGCATTACTGCAAAAGGTCTTCACTTGATTTTTCTTTCTCTTTTTAAAGTAGTGGAGAAATTTGATGGAGTTGCATTATTGACTTCTCTGGTTTTTCTATTTCCCTGTAATAGAAGAAACCTTAACCATGCAGAGTTTGTTGCAAATAATACTCACTGATGCTCACTACTGGCCAGTTGAGCTGAATCCTAAAGTAAAATGTTAGAACAATTTGCCTGTTCCAATTCCAAGTGAGTGGAATGATGATGAATTGATTTTTGTGTTTAAAAAATACAAATATGAATTCTCCCTTCCTTCCTCTACTTGAGGAAGATACCCAGCCTTTCCTGCACTGTACCTTCACAACAGGCTCTGCACCCAAGATTGTTGTTCATTGTAGTAGAGTCAATTCCAACTCATCGCGACCCCATGTATTGCTGAGTAGGACTACTCCATAGATTTTTTTTTAATTTTTTTATTGTGAATTGAGTGAGTGAAGGTTTACAGGGCAGATCATCAGTTTTAACAGTCAGCAAATCATTGCCATGATTACAATCCGCTTCATGCACCATCAGCCAACCTTTTTTTAATGTATACATACCACATTGAAAAGAGATAATCGTTTAAAGGTCCAAAGGGCACATTTTGTAAGCCAGCCTCCTATGTGCAGGTACACTGCTCCTCTCAGTCCATGGCCTTACAGTTTGTCTACTGCTCTGTCTCCCTAAGCCATTGCCTCTGCCTCCATCTCTGTTGTCCCTGCTTTTCTGATTAGGATCCCTTGCTCCATCGGGTTTTCTTGACAGCAATCTGAAGAAGCAGGTCACCAGGCTTTCTCTTCCATAGAGCTGCTTAGGTTAGTTGTTATTGTTGTTAAGTGTCCTCGAGTCGGTTCTGACTCATAGCGAACCTGTATAGGGATTCCCAGGAGCAATTGGTAAGTTTGAACTGGCGACATTGTGGCTCTAAACCAACTGTAGTAGGATTCTGTGTCTACTTGACCAGGATTTCCAGAGGTTTAGCAGTTGAGATGTGCTTATGCCCATGGTGATGAAACCTAATAGGCATAGTTAGCTCTGTGATGAGTGGCTATGAGCAGTCAGTCAATTAAAGGGATGCTTCCTTGGGGTTGTGGCCTGCTCCCAATCTAATGGACACAC